GATTGTTTCGGGCTTGGATTTAAGTCTGACTTCGAGCAGGGAAACAAAGAATTGAAAATGAAAGTGAGGTAAGAAGAGTCAGACTGAATGGAGAATATATTCCTTGGGAGCGTATGTCTTTTCCGCGCCCGAATAATACTTTCAAGTTTGGAGGATGTATAACGTAGAGCAACAATTGACAAATGCACTTGCTAAGGAGGAACAGATGAAGGATCAAGATATGTTTGACAAAGCCACGAGAGGATTGTTTATCAATGTGATCGTTGGGGGCAACAAACCTGGAAATTTTTTTTGTTGGAATTCGTCCTTGTTTCCTTGGTGAAAACTCATCAACTAAACTGCACAGGATCTCCCTGTAGTTTTTAAGAGTAACTCATAGCAATACTCAAAACTAACCCTATGCTTTTGCCCATGAGCATTAAGGGATTTTTTGTATGGTCATCTATGTTAACTCTACTTGCTTTATAATAAAGATGTTTTTCCATTTCTCAAGTGGCAATCATTCTTACTTCGAGATAATATAAATAAAAAATTCAATTAAAAATCTAATTAAATAAAAAAATTATAAAGTCAAATTGAATTAACAAGTCAAATTCAATTTCGAAACTATATCTATACGGAGTTAGAAATGATAAATTTTGTGTAGTTGATTAGAAAGAAAAATCTTAAAAAAATATGAAATGATATTTTTTAATAGTCTAAAGTAAATTGATTACAATTTAATAATTATTTAATTTTTTAATTATTGATAAGACATGTATTTGTAGACGCAACTGATTGAACTAGAGTTGTTCAAAACCGAATACTATATATTTTTGGGTATCAAAATATTGGCCCGTGTCTTGGCTTATTACATCCTGGTACCCATAATTTGGCTACCCATAAAATTTAGGTATTCGTATTTTTGGGTCATGAGGATCCAGTTCATAATTTTTTTTATTTTTTTAAATTATATTATTTAAAAAAAAGATTATTTAAAAAATAAAATTTAAAATGAAAGGTTTATAATATATAATCAACGAATAAAGTTTAAAAATTCAAATTATATAACTGAAAGATAAAATTTATCAGAAAGTTAAAATAAAGAAATGTAATTAAATTTCAAATATTTTGAAATTAAAATAAATATTTTAAAATTTTATTTAGAATGTTATGGTGACAAAATTTAAGAAATTAGGAATTTAGAATGTTAGAGCGCAATAATTTGAGAATTATGAATAAAAAATTAAATATGAAATAAAATAATATATATATATATATAAGAAATCGAGTACTAGATCAGTTGCTACCCAATTAAGTAACATTTTTGCGACCCAAGCTGGCACAAAAACTTGAGAAAAATAGTGGATCAGGTACCCGACTCAAAAAATTGAGTATTTTCATTATAAATACTTGGTTTTTTTAATCGGGTAGGCGGGTTAACTTGTCGGGTTAATCGGGTCGGGTACTTTTGATCACCCCTAGTTTGAACCCAGAACTTTTATAGAGAAAAACACCCTTTTAACCATTTAGTTCTAGGGATGTAAACAAGCCAAGTCATGTTCGAGTGTTGTTGAGCTTGACTCAACTCAACAAATTTAAAATTGAGCTCGACTCGTAATCTAGTGAGCTTCAAATTTTCAAGATCAACTCAAACTCAAAAGAAGTTGGAATCAAAAGCACATGAGTTTCAAGTTAAGTATCATTCTATACCCTACTCTAACTTAAAACCCTAAATTATAAATGTTGAACCCTAAATCATAACCTCTAAACCATAAATCTTAAACCATATATCATAACTTAGAGTTTATAATTTAGGGTTTTAAGTCAGGATATGATATAGAATGATGCAATTAAAAAACATTGAGAGCTAAATTGATGCGAAAACATGATAGAAACGAAAGTGATAAATTGAGTCTACTACAGTGGCAAAGGTGACCCTTAAGCCAACTTAAAACTATCAATCTCGATTCGAACTCGAATTAGAGCTTGACTCAAACTCTAAAAAACTTGAACTCGAAACATTATCAGATTTAACTCGATTGAAGCTTAGATTTGAGCTTGGTTCAATCTCAAACCTTAAACATATAAAAACTTTATATTGTATTTAAAAAAAATAACATATAAATGTTAATATTACTAATAATTTAATTTAAAAATAAAAAAATTAATATATTATTTTTTCAAATTATTTGTAAGTTTTTCAAGTTAAGTATAAAGTAGTTTGTTTTAAATCATTAAAATCTCGAGTTTAGTTGAAACTTTCTCCGAATTCATTCAATAGATATTGATCACATTTTATCATGTCAAATTCAAATACCTTATAATTTATCTCGTCTTTTTTACCACACTATTTATTTAGACCCCTTAATGGATTTCTTTATAATTAAGCTTGGAGCTATAAACGACACTTTAACCTTAGTAAAATAATATTTTTTAAATCATTGACCCAAAATATAAAATTTATAGAACCCATCTATGGGTCTAGTCATCGGTCCGGTTTGTATGGGTCTAGCAATAATGAATAAATAATTTTTTACAATAATTAAATTTAAAATAATTATAGAAAAATATAATAATAATAATATAATAATAATAATAAAATATGATTAAAAAACCAAAGTTTTTAAAATCAGTAAAAAGAAAACATTAAAACAAGTGCTTTTACTAAGTTCGAATATGTTTCAAAAATAAATTGATTGATTCAATGTAAGTTTGATTTTAATTATGGCTAACGAGTTTTGATATAAGTGATTGAGATTTAAATATTTGAGTTTATAAAGTCAAATTAAATACTATCGTCGTCACTCTTGATGGACAATCTAAGTTCTTATTAAATTTGATTTGAGTCTTAGGTATGCCTTAACCCTAGACTAGGAGAACCACTCCTGTCCTAAATTTTTTAAACCCAAAAACATTGATTTTAATTTTCATGTTTTTGCTTATATTTTTTTAAAAAATTTAAAACCATTTTAATGAAATATTTAAAAACAAAATTTTTCAAAATTTCACTTACCTTTATTTTTATTTTTGTAAATTGTTTTAATTTTACAATTAAACACATTTTTTAAAATGAAAATGATTTCTTTTTTTATTTTCTAGAATCAAATAAGTGTTTTGAGTAATATTAGAATTCAAATTATAATGGTATAGATGAACAAATTATTGAAAAGATTAACTTGATCATAATAGTATTTGTAATATTTGATCCAAATTAGATGAGTGATTATAAAAAGATAATATAAAATTTTAAAATATTTCATGAACAGTGAAAAAGGTGTCAAGCTGAGTCCAACCAGAGTGTATTCGATTTTGAACATCAAAATTTTAAAATAAAAATTTGATACATGAAGGATATTATTATTATTATTGCTATGTTGATGATGATAGAAGAAGAGGGAGTGTAAAATAGGTACTGTCAGTGGGGAAAGCCTGTCGACACAGGCGCATCCGGATAAGAAATCGCCAAAGAGTTGCATAAGATGAACCCTAATCTCTATAAAGACGATAATCACAAACCCGATGGCTCTGGCACCCTTTCACCGTCCTTTATGGCTTCATTGTTTACTTGTACTCGTATCTGAACCAATATGTTCATATTATATCCTTCTTCCATTTGGTTTCATTCAGGAGCTTAAGCAAGTGCTTGAAGATGTTCCTGAGATTGTTGAAGTGGTCGGCATTGCATCGGCAAAACAAGTTATGGATATCCACGACCAAGGTGGCGCTGCCAGCAATGAAATTAAATCTGCTCTGCGCTCGGTCTTCGCACCTTATGTCTGCCAGAAAGGAGATGACGACCAAAGCTATATCCAAACTTAAAACTCAGCTGCTCATAGAGAGCCAGGTCAGTACTCAGTAGTAATGTCATCATCATTGAGTTCTTTTTAAAACTGAGAAAAAATTGGGACACTGGATTGGAGTGTAAATGTAATCGAGTTGAGATAAGTTCAAGCCCGTTTGAAGCTCCAACTCGAAAATCTTTTTTTGATGCATCAGTTGAGGAGTCTGAGGGAAAGAAGAGTTGGTTGTGGAGTTGGAAAAGCAATACCCCGGGGACATCGGAGTGTTATCGGCGTTCTTGTTGAATTACGTGGAACTGAAGGCGGGGGAAACTTATGTGGCCGCCAATGAGCCTCACGCGTATTTGAGTGGGGACTGCATCCAATGCATGGCAACCTCGGACAATGTCGTCCCGAGCTGGTCTCACTCCCAAGCATCGTGATGTCCAAACCCTTGTTCCATCCTCACCTATACCAGGTACACTTCCCATCTAATCAGGATCCCATTTCTATTAAGGTACAGTTAGTTGCATTTTATTATAACCGTCGGATATAAAAGTCAAATTTAAATACTATCGTCGTCACTCTTGATGGACAATCTGTAAGTTTCTTATGTAATTTGATTTGAGTCTTAGGTATGCCTTAACCCTAGACTAGGAGAACCACTCCTGTCCTAAATTTTTTTAACCCAAAAACATTGATTTTAATTTTCATGTTTTGCTTATATTTTTTAAAAAAAAATTTAAAACCATTTTAATGAAAATATTAAAACAAATTTTTTCAAAATTTCACTTACCTTTATTTTTATTTTGTAAATTGTTTTAATTTTACAATTAAACACATTTTTTAAAATGAAAATGATTTCTTTTTTTATTTTCTAGAATCAAATAAGTGTTTGAGTAATTATTAGAATTCAAATTATAATGGTATAGATGAAACAAATTAAATTGAAAAGATTAACTTGATCATAATAGTATTTGTAATATTGATCCAAATTAGATGATGATTATAAAAGATAATAAAAATTTTAAAATATTCATGAACAGTGAAAAAGGTGTCAAGAGTCCAACCAGAGTGTATTCGATTTTGAACATCAAAATTTTAAAATAAAAATATTTGATACATGAAGGAATATTATATTATTATTGCTATGGTGATGATGATAGAAGAAGAGGGAGTGTAAAATAGGTACTGTCAGTGGGGAAAGCACTGTCGACACAGGCGCATCCGGATAAAGAAATGGCCAAAGAGTTGCATAAGATGAACCCTAATCTCTATAAAGACGATAATCACAAACCCGAGATGGCTCTGGCACCCTTTCACCGTCCTTTATGGCTTCATTTCCCTCCACATATGTATTCCTTCTCAATCAACTTCATTGTTCACTTGTACTCGTATCTGAACCAAATATGTTATATTATATCCTTCTTCCATTTGGTTTCATTCAGGAGCTTAAGCAAGTGCTTGAAGATGTTCCTGAGATTGTTGAAGCGGTCGGCATTGCATCGGCAAAACAAGTTATGGATATCCACGACCAAGGTGGCGCTGCCAATGAAATTAAATCTGCTCTGCGGTCTTCGCGCACCTTATGTCTGCCAGAAAGGAGATGACGACCAAAGCTATATCCAAACTTAAAACTCAGTGCTCATAGAGAGCCAGGTCAGTACTCAGTAGTAATGTCATCATCATTGAGTTCTTTTTAAAACTGAGAAAAAATTGGGACACTGGATTGGAGTGTAAATGTATCGAGTTGAGATAAGTTCAAGCCCGTTTGAAGCTCCAACTCGAAAATCTTTTTTGATGCATCAGTTGAGGAGTCTGAGGGAGAAGAAGAATTGGTGTTGGAGTTGGAAAAGCAATACCCCGGGGACATCGGAGTGTTATCGGCGTTCTTGTTGAACTACGTGAAACTGAAGGGGGGAAACTTTGTATGTGCCGCCAATGAGCCTCACGCGTATTTGAGTGGGGACTGCATCCAAGCATGGCAACCTCGGACAATGTCGTCCGAGCTGGTCTCACTCCCAAGCATCGTGATGTCCAACCCTTTGTTCCATCCTCACTATAACCAGGTACACTTCCCATCTAATCAGGATCCCATTTCTATTAAGGTACAGTTAGTTGCATTTTATTTATAACCGTCGGATATAAATGTCATTGCGAGTATTATAGTCGAGAAATAACAGTTTCGGATGACATCTTATATTATATAATAGTCCTATTTGCTATTTCAATCACGGACTACTATTTAAATCTCTAATTAAGATACCATATTTATAAGTTACTTAAATAGTGGTCCTCTATAAGATAACAACCGTTATATAGCGATAACAATGTTGTCTGAAACCTTTACTTTTAGGATAGCATTGTCCACGGTGACTACAATAACATTTGTTATGTCCACAATCACAACAAAGCAAACACTACATAAATACGATCGCAATCACATTTTAAATCCTTGATTTCAACTCTTTCATTATAAAAATATTCATATTTTTACTTTCATAACATGTTAGGTTGGATTTTTTCTTTAAATTGCATATACCGTATATGATTTCTGTTTTAGGGGTACCCTGAAATCCTTTTGGGACTTCCATTGAGTCCTTACATAACAAGGTACCTGTCAACACCGTTTTTTCGCCCGAGCGAGGAAAGACCGATATCGACTCGGGGGTTTTCTCTTTGAAAATCGTTTCGAAAAGTGAGGAGTCACCACCAATCATTTAAGGTGAGATTGAAACACCATAAAAACCGGGTGATTTTAATAAAACATATTTGTATTATCAAAATACCGAGTTTCGGGGTCTGCGAAAAACCAAAAATCAGGTTCGGGAGTCAGTTACGCGTGGGGAAGGATTAGCACCCCCACAAGCGCCCAAAAATTGGTACCTAGTTGATTACCCTATATTTAAAATCAGAAATTTAGAGTTCGATCTTTATTTAATTTAAAAATCATTAAGGATGCAAAGTTGAAAAGGATATTCGTTTATCGAGACTGATATCATTCACCCCCGAGCGTAAATGCGGGAGATCAACTATTGTGCCTAATGACAGAACATTGTCTCATTTTTAGAAAACATGATGTGGTTTTGAAAAAGATGTCAACTTATTTAGGGAATTACCAGTAGTCACCCCCTGAGCACGATCGAGGAGGATATACTATTAACTCCTTAATAAGTGAACAGTGCCTTAGAGTTAAAATAAAATGTAATCAGACAAAATTTTATTCATCCTAATTAAATTAAAAGTAAATTAAGACTTTTTCTAACTTAAAGTGTCAAATTATGAAAATTAAGGAACCTAGGGGTTCAAATCTAAAAGCGTAGGCTCTAGTATTAATCCTATTTGATTTTAAATAATTATTATATCGAATAACCGAGATGTTGCCTCGAGCGTTTACACGAGAGCCGACTCACATTATCCCCTAAATTAAAGACTAGTTTGAAATCTAAGCTAAAATAGAGGCTCTATTTAACCTATTTAATTATGTCAATATTAAAAGTCTAATCGAAGTTTAAGGACTAAAAGAGCAAATGACTAAAATATCAGAGTTCTAAAAGATTTAAAAATCTAAAGACCTAAATTAATAATTTCTAAATTAAGGGACTAGTTAAAAATTTATTACCTAAAATATTAATCATTAATTAATTTTAATCGAATAATTATTTCGAGTATTCAGGCATATAATGTGAAAACTCAACTCGAATTGCCCCCTAATTAAACTATAGTGTCATCCTAATTTCCAATTTGATTCAAATATTAATCTAATTTAAAAAACTAAATTTAGAATTAAAACTATGAAACAAAATAATTAAAAATAAACTTAATTGAAATAATTAAAAAAAGATAATAAAAAACATTAAAAATATAAAATAAACATAAACATAAAATAAAGACCTAATTGCATAAATGTAAAATAATAATGACTAAAATACAAGAAAATAAAAGTTAGTAACTAAATAAGAAATAAAAAGTGACCAAAATGCAAAAATTAAAATAATAGTAGCTAAATCAGAAATTAACGTGACTAAATTAAAATAAACAACATCAGCATGCATAATCGGAATAAAAAAAAAGAGTGACCATAGTATAAACACGCTGAAGTTGGGGACTTATGCATGATTTATCCATTAAGATATGAACCAAGCAAAAAGCACATTAGAATCTAGGGACTAATGCTTAATTAGCCCAAAAAAGTTTGAAATATAAAACCCCATTTGTTTTTTCCCCATATACACGTGAAGACCAAACAAAAGAGAAAGCTTTGTCTTCTTTCATTGTTTTAAGAACCAAACTCCTCCCCTCTTTCAAATCTTACCATGGCTGACAGACCCAAGGGCTCAAAAGCCTCCATTGCGGGTCACCGCTAAACATGGCCAAGAAGGCCAAACCTCTCATCGAAACACCCCTTTTTCAGGTATGAAACCAATTTTGTTCTCTTTTATTTTTTGTATATTTGCTACAAATAGTTGAGATCGTTGGTATTTAAAATTCGAAAGAGAATAGAAAAAAAAGCTCTTGTCTTAGTTTTTTATTCGAGACATACAAACATTTTTTTAGAAAATCTTTGTAAATATATATATATATTTAAAAAATACAATAGCAGCAATAGGGGTAAATCGAACTAAAAAAGGTTTTTACAATACTAGGTTCGAATGTAAGCAGAGAAAAATACAAAAAACATTCGAAATTAAAGAGAAAATAAACCTTGAAATATGCTCTGTTATTGCTTTCGAAAATGGAGTATTACAATCCTTTTTTAAGCATCTTGAATACCCCTCACTTTGTATTACATCTTTTTTAATAAAAAAAACCAGGCTCTCCCTTGTTCGAATCATCCTCCCTTTTTTTGAAACTATGCCCCTTGTTGTTGATTAATTTCCTCCTCTCGAATCGTTGCTGGTCCGATTTTTATCTCTATTTTCTTCACCGATTCCCTTGTAATTTTTCTTGTTAATTTTTTCTGCGTTTGGTAGTATAATGACAGGTTTAGGTGAAATTTGCCCCTGATTTTCGAGGTTAGGCGCATTTAATTTCTTTTATTTTGCTGTTGGGTGTAGATTTGGTGGCGAGAATGGCTCATCAGTGACTTGGCTTGAGCTGGTGTGTGGCGACTGTTGATGGTCACTGGCGGGTCGGATCCTGGTATTGGGCTTGAACCGAATTATAGCTTGTAATGGGTCTTATAAATTGGGTCGGTTCTTGAGCTTGTTGTAATTCGGGGCCAGTTGGGCTTGAATTGTACTTGGCCTGCAAATGTAAAATACAATAATTAATAATAATAATAATATATAATTAATATTTATAATGTTTTTAATTCTAGTTAAAAACGGGTGTCTACAACTGTCTCTCTTTGCACATTCTTGTGTTTACAAGAATAGGGCAAAAACGAAAAAGACAAACAGTTTTTGACCAGTTCTATTTCCGTTCTTTAAAATTTGATAAGGGATCTGCTCCACTATTTCTTCAGGGGATATCAGACTCGAGATGTTGATCCATTCCATTGTTCTTTAGGGAAGTTTGAATTAGAGTAGACTTGTTTCGTTGTCTCTGAAGGGAATATCAAATCTTGGAATATAGGAATCTGTTCCGCTTCTTCTGAAGGGAATATCAGATATGGAAAGAGATGTGATCCATTGAATTAGGGCAGATTTGTTCCGTTGTCACTCAGGGAATATCAAACCTTGGAAAAGAGGGATTTGTTCCGCTTCTTCTAAAGGGAATATCAGATCTTAAAGGAGAGAGATTTGTTCCGTTTACTCTGAAGGGAATAACAGATTTGAGGGAATTGATCTATTGAATTGGGGAAGAGTTGTTCCACTTACTCTGAAGGGAATATCAAATCTTGGAAAAAAGAGATATGTTCCGCTTACTCTAAAGGGAATATCAAATATTTGAGAAGAAAGACATATTCCGCTTACTCTGAAGGGAATATCAAATCTTGGAGAAGAGAGACTTGTTCCACTTACTCTGACGGGAATATCAAATCTTGGATTTGCTTCACTACTCTTTCGTGAAGGCTTAAGATTGATTTGCTTCACTACTCATTGGTGAAGGCTTAAAATGGATTTGCTTCACTACTATTTGGTGAAGGCTTAAAATTGATTTGCTTCACTACTCTTTGGTGAAGGCTTAAAATTGATTTGCTTCACTACTCTTTGGTGAAGGCTTAAAATTGATTTTCTTCACTACTCTTTGGTGAAAGCTTAAGATGGATTTGCTTCACTACTATTTGGTGAAGGCTTAAGATGGCCCAGAGGACTTAATCATCATGTTCGGAAGACTTATAATGGCCCGAAGGACTTATAAATTTTGGAAATAGTTTACTAGGTAAGAAACCTTTCTTACTTTTCAAAAATTTCAAATCTCAGATTTAAATGAGAAACCTCTCTCATATTTTAATAGACATTTGAAAACATCCTGCCCAAAGGACTTACGGGTGGCCCGAAGGACTTATAAATTTTGGAAATATTTTACTAGGTAAGAAACCTTTCTTACTTTTCAAAAATTTCAATTTTCAGATTTAATATGAGAAACCTTTCTCATATTTCAAAAGACATGTGAAAACATCCTACCCAAAGGTCTTATGGATGGCCTGAAAAACTTATAAATTTTTTAAATATTTTACTAGGTAAGAAACCTTTCTTACTTTTCAAATATTTCAAATTTCAAATTTGAATGAGAAACCTTTCTCATATTTGATAGACATGTGAAAACATCACGCCCAAAGGTCTTATGGATGGCCCGAAGGACGTATAAATTTTGGAAATATTTTACTAGGTAAGAAACCTTTCTTACTTTTCAAAAATTTCAAATTTGAATGAGAATCCTTTCTCATATTTTGATAGACATGTGAAAACATCCTGCCCAAAGCTCTTATGGATGGCCCGAAAGACTTATAATTTTTGGAAATATTTTACTAGGTAAGAAACCTTTCTTACTTTTCAAAATTTCAAATTTCAAATTTGAATGAGAAACATTTCTCATTTTTTCATTTATAAAATGACTTAATGGTTAGGCAACATGCCCCACTTCAAAGTAATGTTTCCTCTGTGGATTGGGCCCACTCTGTTCTTTAAGTTCTGCCTCATTAGACATTATTCCCTGTATTTGAGGTTTGAATTATAGCTTCCACTTGTTTGTGATTTTAATACCATGAATCTTTTTTTTCCTTTGGAAGATCTGTAAAAACCAAATGTTTATATGTGAAATGTGAATGCAATGCAATGCATTTTCTTTTATGCAAATGATGTTCTCATGCATGTGTAAATGTTGATTCAGTTTTTCTTTGACTCCAAGGTGGGAAACCAGGCCTTCTTCCTCTTGATCATTCTTCTCTAGGGTTTATGCAAATATCAGTGTAGTAGTTTGCAACTTTTGAAGATCTGCCCAATCATCTCATGGTCTTTATTTTTTTGTCTTTATTTCAGAGGAACTGTTTTCTCTCATGAATTCTTGTTGCAGTCAGTAATATGATCTTGATAACCCCTTTTTGTCCTTGGCTCAATTACATTTCAGAGTTGTTCTTCCAGGACTCTATCATTGATTTATGCTCAACTGTTTAACTTGCGAGTTAAGCTACTCAAATTCGGTGTTTTCCCCTGACACTTCAATTTGTGAGATTTATTCTCACTCTTCTTGATCTGAACCTTGTTATCTCAATATGATCTGAGTTTCTGGTCATAC